CTTGATATTGGGACTAGAACTATATATATTTTTAGCTTGTCCCTCATTTATTAATTTAGCTCCCTCAATGATTTATTCCTGGCTACAGAACTGATAATAATACATCAAAATTTTATTTTTGTGTATTAATTGATTATTATATACCATAATAATTTTGTGGTAGTATAGACTTGTTAATGTATTTAAGTAATCATTAATCAGATTATCATTTATTTTTATATAGAAATTTTAAAAAAAGTTTTAATTTCAGTAATATTTATTTGTATAGTACATTAATATAATAATAAGATATCAGAATTTAAGTTATATTTTTATGCTCATAAAAATATATAAATATGTTAAATAATAAAGCTATATACAGTAATACCTTGACTTATGCTACCCCGACTTATGCGAACCCAGAGTTAGGCGATTTTCAAATCTCGTCGATTCGTCTTTTGTTTGAGCGCCACGCAATTCTCGATTACTCACTCCCCCCACACTATTGTTCAGTTTACATGTTCGGACATGTCGCGCAGAATCGACACATAGCAACAATTTATTTTGTGTTATTTATTTCTGTGTTTGTTATATTTACAAAGACTTGAGAGACTCTATGTGTCTTGTAACCGTGAACGAATCAAAAGACGAGATAAGATTAACGAGAACATTTATTAGCTTAAATACGTCCGACTTGGATTTTACACAAATTGCGAAATTATACCCCGACTTACATGAATTCGATTTATGCAGTAATATACAGTAATACCCTGTATACTGTAATACCAGGGTATTACTGTATTAATCATATATTTATGTATTTACATTCAATTCATGAAATTTTTTACTATTTGATTGATGTCTGGGTAGACAATTATTATTATTGAATTAATGAAATACAGTCAAACCCCTGAACATAGATGGGAATATAAAAATGGCCATTGTTTGGGGATTATTTTGTAGGCATTTTTATTAAAATATTTGTTTCTGAGAAAATGGTGACTGTATTAGAGATGGTTATCATTGGAGGTTCCTACTATGCTGTACTGTACTTAGAATTGCCAAGTATTTAGGGATTAAATCCAGGACTAAATGATTTCTTCCCAAAGGATACTGGTAGACTTCAATTCTGGACTTGCAGCATGCGTGTTTTTACCCTGGCAGTGACAAAAATACATTTAAAATGTGGAAAAATAAAAAGATACATCATTGTAGAGCAGTTTTTAGAATAAAATCCCCATTGTTATATGGCAGTCCTTCCTCACGTATAGTCATGAATTTTTTGTGACCTCTTTCCCTTAANAATGAGTCTAAGCAAAGAATTGATGGTGGGTTTAGAAGTGTGCTGGGACAATACTCCCAAATATTTTGTAGCAAGTTGAGTATTAATTCTTCCATCATCCATTCCTTCCTAATTCTGTAATCTATATGCTGTATTAAAAGTAATTAATTCTCAATAGTAGTAGAGAGTCGATTATCCAAAATAATTAGGGTTGGACAATTTTAGATAACCAATCACACTTGGTAGAGAAAGAATAAAAAGATAAATATCTTAAATTAAAAATTATTATAATTCTTTTTTGAAAGAAGTAATCAATTTTGCTTTGTTTTGCATTATGTTTTTCTTTTTAACTTTGCTAAATCCTTGGCTTGCTTGATCATTACGAGAATTGAAAAATTTGCTTTAGGTTGCATTTCTAAGTCTGTCAATACTGTTTCAAATGCATCAAATGCTTCACTGTACCTATAAACAGTGAAACATTTGATGCATTGGATTGTGACTCATTAATCATGCTTTTTTTATTTGTACTATAGTTAATGAAACTTAATGTTAGTATTAATACTAAAATAACTTAATATCTGGTCTATATAAGAGTGATTCACCAATCATTATTATGTAAAAATTGCAATTTCTGGAAGTAGAACTCTCTCAAATTGATTTCAGTTACAGTAATTAGTTTTTTTAGATAATTGATGCTCTACTATATTACTATATGTTTTCCTTGAATCTTTTCATCTTGTGATCAATAATTCAATGAAAATGTTTTTCTAATATTGTGTTTTCTTAATTCTAATGTGCCATTGAATCTAACATGCACTTAATTTTTGAGATAAAACCCAAAGAAGTTAGTTAACAAATGTAACTTGCATCCTATATTGTCAAACACTCAGTTACAAGAAGTTAATGTATTCAAACAACAATAAATACATTTTTGTAAAATATTTTATTATGTTTACAGTATACATTTCTGAATATATTTGAAGAGTGCAATGCCCTAATGTTGTAAATGCTATTTTTTCCTGAATATGTTTTATTGAAGAAATGAATTCTAAATTCAATGTTTTCTGCCGCAAAAAAATATTGTGGTGAAAGTGTCACTGTAGGTGGCTGTATTTTGAAGTTGAATTTACATGCAAGCTGTAACATTTTAAGTGCCAAAAGTCACGACTTGCACTTTGGTGCTTAAAACATTACGGCTTATGTTTATGTCATTTTGTTATTTGTAACCTAGTGAGGAATTTACCATTTTATGCTAAAATCAAAATAAATTTTTTCGAGACTTGAAGGAATTCATTGACTAGTAAAAAGTGTTTCTTGGCATTTACAACATTATGGTATTGCACACTTCATTTATTCATTACAGTCAAAATTATCATACGATCAATGTTTTAAAAGCAATATTTAATATTAGTATGCACCAGCATGATATTTTGCATATTATGTAGTATTACATGAAATATCTGGAAGCAAGCCAATAGAGTTCGTCATCCTACTAACTTATGTTTTATCATCTTCAGCCTTGCCAGGTTTCAAAATTCTGTATATAGCATTCGATCAACATCAGGAAATGACATCAAATTGAACACTGATGTTGACTTTTCCATGACCTTCCAGGTCAAAGGAGAGAAGACACCTGGAAACAAAGATGGACCAATCAAAAAGTGATGAAAGATATCATCAATCAATCAGAATGCAGGATCAAGGGGAGAACCATTTTAAAATGTGTGTATCAAGGACATGAGGTTCTTTCNTATAGATTTTATTAAAGAAGTTTTTCAAAAGAAAATGTATTTTAAATTTATGATTTTAGTTTTCTTAATATTTAATTCAAAAATTTTATTAGTTTAGAGTTCTGATATTTAAAAAATATGTTTTTAAATGGAATAACTAAAAGGAACATTTAAAATGTTCTATTTTAAACTTGGAATGTTTTTTTAAATAAGTGAGGCTCTTTAGATTTAATGACATATGATAATGAAACGTATATCTCAGAAAAATGTTTAATACAAAAGATTTGAATTAGACCGATGATTCCGAAACTTTTTTGATCCTCCACCACCACCTCCTTGGTTCCATAAACTTAAATCCAATGCTTCCAACCATACCCTAACGTCCCCAATCCGTTTTGTCTATTGTGAGAAAGGCTTGGAAATATTCTTAGAAAAGTTTTTCTGAAAACCTCACACTTTGTGTCCTTACTGTACATTGTTGTCAACATCTGGAAGTCCATTAAATGCAATGTTTCTTCTTATCCATTTTAATGGAGAAAAGGGAAAGGTTGTCAGTGGCCCCAACCCTTGCCTAAGATCACCATTTGGTTCTGCCTCCAGTACTCCCTGCCACCTCGTTGCTTCTTTTTACCCCTCTAGATTTACTCATTGCCCCAGAGTAGTGCCCACTTTAGGAACCATTGGATTAGACTAAAAACATACTTGTTACATTATAAGTGTATTAACAGAATGGACTTCATGTTACTAGAAACTTTTATTACTCCTTTAAACTTCTTTTGACTGTTATATTAATTTTTTAATGTCTGTAAAATCTACCAGAAGAAAATAGTTTACTAGAAAACTCTGCTAAAACTTAAAATAGCTGTTAAGAATTTATTTACATTTTTATATTATAGCAATTAATTATTATATTAATTAAAGAAGCAGACTATTGAATTCTTTTAGGATTATTTTTAAATTGGAATTTAATTAATTTATTAAGCAGCTTGTTGAGTTTGCAACGTTACTATTTTATATTTTAATGATCAGAAGTAATCCAATTAATAAGTTGTAAACATCTAGAGATAAAGATTGATCCAGAACCTGCAACTTCTTATTACAATAATATTTTCAAACAATTTCTACTAATTTAATTAAAAGCAATAACTAGACAAAACATAAAGTGCACTGCTATTATATTTATTTACATTTTCTTTATAAAATACTATTGAAAGGCAAAGTTTATGTTAAAAATATTACGTTATTAGAAAATTCAACTTATTAAAGCAAGTTTCTACTTAAGAAAAAATTATTAAAATAATTCTTTGTTAAATTCATAACCTACATATGACACTGTAAACTTAAGCACAGATTTATGCAGAAGCTGTATAAACAGAAAAGTTTTTGGTACTTTGTATGAATTTTGTTTTAAATTAGCTCTATAATTATTTATATGATTCAGAGTAATTATGAATTATAAATAAAGGTAGTTGGTTTATTTTTAGAGTATTTTTTTTTAAATTAAGAGCAAACATGTTATTTATTTCGCTATTTAAATGAAGTACTGTTTATAAATGAAGCATTTATTTATGAATCGGTCTAAATTTTAAAAAATTCAATAGAATTCATCGTTAAAGATCAAAAACAAATCATCATTTGACGTTAGAATATATTTAAGAAATGCTTAAACTACTTTATTTGAATAACTTTATTTACTTGTTATAAAGTTTTTTTCCTTTATTAGAGTTTGTTTTAAGTTATAGACACTGAAATTTAATTTACATTTTTACATCATTATTATGAAATATGATTTAGATATGGTATTTATGAATTATTCATTTATTTTAATTTGAAAAATTATGAAAATGAAGAAGTTTGAACTATGTGAAGTCCTATATTCGATAAATTAAAATATTTCTTTGTTGTAAATGTAATCATATATGTAAATAATTCTTATATAATAACTCGCAACTATTATAATATTATAGTTCAACAACTTGTTTTATAAATGTATAGTGAAATGGTTTTAGTATCCTTTTCAGCTGAGGCTCTTCATCTTGCGCATTTAATAGCAGCACATGGATATTTCTTTCCTATTGATGACCATATTCTTACTGTTAAAGCTGATGGAACATTTTATAGGTTTCAGGTAATTATTATATTTAAGTAAATTTAATTGTTATTTAATTTATAAGTTAATATTTAAATTATTTAATGTAAACAATATGAATAAATTAAAAATTAATCTTCTGTTCAACTATTCCATTTTACAATGTTTTGATAATGTTTTATTTATTAGATTTTGTGTTCATTACAATTTAATTATTTAGTATAAAACTTTAATATATTGTAAATGGAGCTTAACAAATGCGGCATGCTTTTCTTTGTATCTACTTTGAATGAAAAATTAGTGTTTGAGAATATAACCTTTAATCTTCATAGTATTTTTCATAATTAATTTATTTCAATTTTTAAAGTAATTATTAATGATTAAATTAATAATTTTTTTTCTATTTTTAAATTAAATGGTCATTTTAAGAACTCATAAAAGTTTGTGGAAAAATTATAACCAATTAACATAAATACTTAAAATTAATTTGTATAAAGTAAATTATATTTGCAATTGAAATAATACATGAAGCATTTTATGTGTATATTGTATTTATATTATGAATTAGAAGTGTCATTTAAAAATATTGAATTTAAAGAAAGTAGATTAAAGAAAGTATTTTATTAATCATAACTTCAAATATAGATTTTATTAAAGAAGTTTTTCAAAAGAAAATGTATTTTAAATTTATGATTTTAGTTTTCTTAATATTTAATTCAAAAATTTTATTAGTTTAGAGTTCTGATATTTAAAAAATATGTTTTTAAATGGAATAACTAAAAGGAACATTTAAAATGTTCTATTTTAAACTTGGAATGTTTTTTTAAATAAGTGAGGCTCTTTAGATTTAATGACATATGATAATGAAACGTATATCTCAGAAAAATGTTTAATACAAAAGATTTGAATTAGACCGATGATTCCGAAACTTTTTTGATCCTCCACCACCACCTCCTTGGTTCCATAAACTTAAATCCAATGCTTCCAACCATACCCTAACGTCCCCAATCCGTTTTGTCTATTGTGAGAAAGGCTTGGAAATATTCTTAGAAAAGTTTTTCTGAAAACCTCACACTTTGTGTCCTTACTGTACATTGTTGTCAACATCTGGAAGTCCATTAAATGCAATGTTTCTTCTTATCCATTTTAATGGAGAAAAGGGAAAGGTTGTCAGTGGCCCCAACCCTTGCCTAAGATCACCATTTGGTTCTGCCTCCAGTACTCCCTGCCACCTCGTTGCTTCTTTTTACCCCTCTAGATTTACTCATTGCCCCAGAGTAGTGCCCACTTTAGGAACCATTGGATTAGACTAAAAACATACTTGTTACATTATAAGTGTATTAACAGAATGGACTTCATGTTACTAGAAACTTTTATTACTCCTTTAAACTTCTTTTGACTGTTATATTAATGTTTTAATGTCTGTAAAATCTACCAGAAGAAAATAGTTTACTAGAAAACTCTGCTAAAACTTAAAATAGCTGTTAAGAATTTATTTACATTTTTATATTATAGCAATTAATTATTATATTAATTAAAGAAGCAGACTATTGAATTCTTTTAGGATTATTTTTAAATTGGAATTTAATTAATTTATTAAGCAGCTTGTTGAGTTTGCAACGTTACTATTTTATATTTTAATGATCAGAAGTAATCCAATTAATAAGTTGTAAACATCTAGAGATAAAGATTGATCCAGAACCTGCAACTTCTCTACTAACTTTTATATTATATTCTATAGCTATATTATCAATTTTGTCATCTCATTTGCAGCAGGCACAAATTCCACAATGACATTCAACATTTTCTTTAAATTCAAAACATTTCTAAATTATAAATTAATTAAATTCTTTGTAATTATCAAAATATTTATAAGATGGCAACATGCCTATCTTTAAACCATATTACATACTTAATTTAATATAGCATAGAGATAGGCTATAAATTAATTAAATGCTAGCTTAAAAAGTAATCTGATTATAATTTAGTCATAATGTCTGAATATATTTAAATCTTATATTGATATATAAGATTAATTATTTATTTCTAATAATTTTTTAATAATAAAAATTGTAAAATAATTAATACAGAATGTTCAATATATATTTACAACAAATAAAAATAAACATACCAGTAAATTTTTTAATAATCAATTTACTGATTTCCAAATAAGATTATCATCTAACATTTTTTTAAATATTTTTTTATGAGAATAGACATGCTATCAGTGGCAAGTTTTCCTATAGGCAAAAAGGGTAATTGCCTGAGGCCACCACCAACAGGGGATCCCAACCAATGCACCACTGCCTGCCATAGGGATTTTTGTAGGCACTCCAATTACTGAAATAGCTAGATACACTCATTGACAAAAATATTATCAAAAAATATCACCAAAAAAGGTGGCATTGGAATCGAATGAAACTTTATTAGAGCAAAATATAATATTGATGGTAATAAATGATTACAGTATCTTAGCAAAGGAACAATTTTCTGTGAAACAACAATAAAATTTAAAGAACCTTCAGTACTTTGTGGGACCTCCTCTTGCATAGATACATGTGACAATATGGTCAGACATAGAGGCATATATGCAATGTCTCTGTCCTGTGACAGATTTTCTCGTAGATGTTGCAACTGTTGCTTCAGATCCCTCACACTTGTAGATGGCTGAAACTGGCATCTGGTCCACAAATGCTTAATAAGCAACAAATCTAGAGATCAACCAAGCCAAAGAAGTGTAGCAATGTGACAGACATTTCTGGAAAACCTTGACTGTGTGCAGTTAAGCATTATCTTGCTAGGAAATGACTGTATAGTCCTGCCATGAAAGACAATAAATGAAGATGCTGGATTTCCTGAACATACCAATATGTCATCAATGTTCCTTGCAGCACTATTATGGTGCAATGAACATTGATGAATTTTACATTCAAAATAAATTAATATCATAATATTTTAAAATATTATGTATATTTAGTTTTTAATTTATTTATCTCATAACTCCACTGTAACTGATAATGTGCACGTGCAGCTTATACATGTATAAAATGAAAATTCAAGTCACACTGTAAAGTTTAATTGTTTTCATACATATTTTAAAATTAGTAATTTTAAAATATAACCAAAGTCGCCATTTCAAGTAATAACCAGTTTGAAACTCATTTTAATGTTTTCAAACTAACAAGAATTAAGTAATAACCAAAGTCTTTGGTTATTACTTAATAAGGAATTGAAGAAAAATCTAGCAGTTTTGGCTATCATTTGGATTGTGTAACATATTCTGAACATCCTGTATTATAATTTATTTATTTAATTTATTGTACATATTACTATTAATTACTTCATATAATTAAGCAAATTCAATAGAATTATCTTAATTAATAAAATATTGAATATTTGTTTTTTTTTCTATATATATAAAGACACCTTATTTTTGGCCGTCAAATTGTTGGGAGCCTGAAAATACTGATTATGGTTAGTTGATTTTATTATTATTACTTTTTATTATTTAATAATATTTTTAATAATTTTTATAATTTTTCAAATAATTATAAATATTTATTTTCCTTATTAATCATAAGTTTTTACAAGGTAATCAATTAGCACTAAGAAACAGTAAAAGTTTGTATTTGAATGGTGAAGTACTAGTAGATTTATAAGCTCCCTGCCTATACGTTTTACGCTACTGATGGATACCCCTTGCGGTAAAATATTGAACTTTGTAGTTACAAAAAATAGAGTTAAGACTGAGCTAACATGGCAAATTTGGTGAACTTTTACTCTGGAATAAAGAAATGAATATTTGTAGCATGGGAGAATGTAATACTTCTTATAGTAATACCATAGGGGTAGTTTCTTTTTTTAAATTAAAAAAGACTCAGTTAGAAGAAGGGCATGGATTAATGCAGTATGCAGGCTTTACTTTTATTTGATCTTCATTAATTATAAAAGTTTTGATGGATACTTTATTTCCAATAAACAATAATAACTGTCTCTGATAATGCCATCTGGAGAACAGCCAAGACATTTCTGGACAACGTACTCTTCATTGAGCAGATAATAGCTGTAGAGTTTTCTATCAGTATATTATGTTTGGATCAGCTGGAGATATGTGTTGGTTTGTTTTACTATATCTTTTTCTTTTTTGGAACAAAAAAGTAAGACATGTTGCATGCTTGCATCTATCAAGAAGTCCTGCAAAAGGCATTAATTATTTTCCATTGGTCATTAAGTTAATATGTTTATGTTATGTTTACAAATAATTGTAAGAAAACAAGATCAAATTAGTAATGAACCAAGAAGAAATGTTAATGTTAATAGATATAAATGAAAATGTTTGCAAACAGTTTTCTTCAACTGGTATCATTTACTATGAACATTATACACTATTGTGATGTTCAGGGTTACTAGAACGACAACAGGATATAATACAAAGAACAAAACTTTATTATCAAACACAAGAGTTTCATTTTCATGGATTGACACAGGCTCCAACTCTGAGGCACATACACAAAAAAAAAGGATTTTCATGACACAAAGATATACAAAACTTTATTAAAAAAACTTTATTACAGTCCTTTAGATGCTGGAGTTGTCCAATATACACATTTCGAAAGTCTGCCAATGCGGGCTGCATTTTTCCTTAAATCTACTTAACCTACTTATATCAAAATAATAAAAGACAGACATAGAAAGATGAAGGAAGAAGAAAGATAGGATAGAGGTACCCAATTGTGTCTTCTTTTGGTTGTTTTCGTTCCCTTGGTGGTACAGGTGGACTTAACATCCTTTGTCTAGCCAGATTGGTACTCCACTTACTTCGATGTCCCTACTGCAACACACTGCTAAAACTCCTACTATATCGTCTCTTTCTCCTATTCCTCACTTTTACACCACGCTTCTGTACTCTGGTCTTCTGCTGTCAAAGCGACCCAGAGTCTCCTCGATCCATTCGATCTCTCCACTGTCTACCAAAAAGTGTCCTTTGTCCTCTTTTGGACTGCCCCAGGGTCTTCCTCTACCCATTGTTCACCTCCACACCTTCGGGATTTGAGCGTGGATAGAAAGTTATCAAATTTTGGGGAAGAAAGAAATTAGAGAACAATAGAAAGAAAAGAAGAGGGGGGAAAAACTTATAATATAAACTTACAAACTATATACAGATTATGACATCATGCCACACTATAAAGCTATGATATAAACATTTCATATAAATTGATACTTAATGTTGTTAATATTAAATAAAATTAATTGAGTTTTAGTTAAAATTTCAAAACAATAATATACAACTTACCTCCGATTTTCCAGCACTTTTTTAAATCCAGATAGAATTATAAGAGGTCACCTAAAACTCTCATAATGGATACTTATTCACTGAAAGATCATAGATGGCATCGTGTATACTTGGGTTTTCTACATTTCAATTGTTGATGATCCCTTATAACAGTTACTCATTTTAATGTTTTCAAACTATTTTAAAACAGTTTCAAAACAGCAGGAACATTATGAAAACTCAGAGAACTACAACAGCAGAAGAAATAACTTTGGCTGTCCACTTATTTTCCTTGAAAACAAACAAAAAAAATGATGCAAACTGCTGTGATTAGTGTAAAATACAGGCATTATGGAACTGTCCCTTCTCTCACAAATCCAGATAAGGAGCAAGTATCAGAACCCCTCTAACTTGGGACTTGATTATCAGATCCGTCTTTTTCTTGTATCAATCTGTTAAAAATGTTTCTTTAAATATAATGCTTCAAATCATCTCAGTTTTAGCAAACTGTGCAGCTGTTTTTTTTTTTTTTATAGCAAAGTCTTCAATTAAATTTTATTTAATTGAATTTGAGTCAGTTAATTATTGATATTATAATTTGAGAAAGTCAATAAAACTTTAAGCTAAAACTCAACAAATTATTGAAATAATTTAAATAAAATTCAGAATAAAAAATATTCTACTACATTTTCTTTAAGTTTTTAAGACTATACTTTTATATTCACATCAGAATATCGTCAAAAGTTTTTTTATGACTGATAAGTCTCAATCATTTTCAAATCTTTTATGGTATGAACTCTTCTTCAATCAATTTGCACCTAAAGAAAAAAATGTGTAGTAAATAAATAAAGATAATTCTTCTTAGAAAATATCTGTAAAGATTAGTTTATTCATTTTTGAAAATTTTCAAACTATCTAATATTCGGAATTATGAAATAAAAATATATTTTATCTTTATATAGCAAAAATACTATGGTATTTGTACTTACGAATCATGTTAAATCTATCTATTTATGATATTTTATATATTAATATAGTATTATAACAAGGATTAATAATAATGTAATAAATAAATATTTTGAATCAATTTCATTTGACAACATAAACATTTAAGTTTAACAATTTTTATCATCTTTTTTTCACAATTAATGTTGCATCATATATTTCAAAGGAAACATTTTTATATATTCAATTAAGTTAAATTAACTAAGTTAGAAAACACATTATCAAATAATTTGTTTCTTAAAAGAAACAAAATTTAATAGATTATATAATTTCAATCTATTATGTCTGTGTTTACAGTTGAGTCCACTTAACAGAGTATTGAATTAAGGAACAGTCCACTTGAGAGAGCACAGTTCCTGAATTTTTCCCCAATATTTAGTGGGACTCCTGTTAATAGAGCACTGGATAGTAGAGTAGTCTATTTAAATGAGCATTGTGTCAGCAGCTTTTTTTTTTTTAAATAGCAGTCTGCATAAGAGAACACTATTCTAAGGAAGATTTATAAAGGTCCATAATTAATCTTACAGTACATCACCACTCACCATCACAGCAACAGTGCACAAATCAACAAAATCTGTTTCTCACAAAGGTGTATTGTTTCATTTAAGCATGTTGAGAAAATATTTAGAAGAAAATTTTACCAACTACAATGCATTTTACAAGATCAAAGATGATTGAAAAGAAAGTTGTGAATAATTATATCCAAAAGAACTTCTTTAAGTAAATTAAATTTGTTCAGGTTGTTTATTGTATGAATAGTTATGATAGTGCAAGTAGTTCAGTTCCATATTTGTAAATTACTGTAATAAAATTTCATGGAAAGTAAATACAAGAATAATTATTTGTCTGTATCTCTCAGTAGTGAAAATTCAGAAATTTTGGAGCCAAGGGTATTCACATCTTTTCAACTAGACCTTCTACTGTATTTGTTGGGAAAAAGCAAAAGTCATTTGATTGATAATATACTGTGTTTACTGATTTTTTGATAAAACAATAAAATTGATGATGTAAAAATAGAAACCAATATGTAAGCTACAGCAAAATTATGTGTTAATGAATTTTAATGTTTCCAAGTGCATTATAAGTTATATAAAGCTCCTAAGACATGAAACAGTGAAGAGATTTGAATACTATAAACAACTCCCTGATCTAATTAAAACAATCTAATTACTTCAGATAAGAGAGCAATCCTGACAGTAGTCTTTTAAGCAGACTTAACTGTACATTAAAGAGTAACACAAATGATACATTAGCTTTGATTTACCGAATTAAAAATTAATCAGCAATATTAATTTTATTCGGTTTGTTATGCTTTAAGTTAACATTATACGTAAAGAAAAATTTGAAGTTTTGCTTTTTATAAATATAAAAACATTGGTATTATATTTTAAATTATCACTTAAAGTTAAACCTTAATGAAAATATTCAAGTTTTAAATATATTTATTATTATTATTCCATCAAATTTTATTATATAATAAAATTAAAATTATATATATTTAGCTGTGTACTTATGTAAACGGACCATGCAAAATAAAACTAGATTGGAACTTGCCGATTATGAAGCCGAGAATTTGGCACGTTTACAAAAAATGTTTTCACGCAAATGGGAATTTATTTTTATGCAAGCAGAAGCTCAAGCTAAGTATGTATTATTAAATTTTTAAAATTAAATATACAACTTATATTAAAAATTATTTTAATATAAATTGATTATTATTTATAAAAATTTTATTCTGTATTAAAAGTAATTAATTCTCAATAGTAGTAGAGAGTCGATTATCCAAAATAATTAGGGTTGGACAATTTTAGATAACCAATCACACTTGGTAGAGAAAGAATAAAAAGATAAATATCTTAAATTAAAAATTATTATAATTCTTTTTTGAAAGAAGTAATCAATTTTGCTTTGTTTTGCATTATGTTTTTCTTTTTAACTTTGCTAAATCCTTGGCTTGCTTGATCATTACGAGAATTGAAAAATTTGCTTTAGGTTGCATTTCTAAGTCTGTCAATACTGTTTCAAATGCATCAAATGCTTCACTGTACCTATAAACAGTGAAACATTTGATGCATTGGATTGTGACTCATTAATCATGCTTTTTTTATTTGTACTATAGTTAATGAAACTTAATGTTAGTATTAATACTAAAATAACTTAATATCTGGTCTATATAAGAGTGATTCACCAATCATTATTATGTAAAAATTGCAATTTCTGGAAGTAGAACTCTCTCAAATTGATTTCAGTTACAGTAATTAGTTTTTTTAGATAATTGATGCTCTACTATATTACTATATGTTTTCCTTGAATCTTTTCATCTTGTGATCAATAATTCAATGAAAATGTTTTTCTAATATTGTGTTTTCTTAATTCTAATGTGCCATTGAATCTAACATGCACTTAATTTTTGAGATAAAACCCAAAGAAGTTAGTTAACAAATGTAACTTGCATCCTATATTGTCAAACACTCAGTTACAAGAAGTTAATGTATTCAAACAACAATAAATACATTTTTGTAAAATATTTTATTATGTTTACAGTATACATTTCTGAATATATTTGAAGAGTGCAATGCCCTAATGTTGTAAATGCCATTTTTTCCTGAATATGTTTTATTGAAGAAATGAATTCTAAATTCAATGTTTTCTGCCGCAAAAAAATATTGTGGTGAAAGTGTCACTGTAGGTGGCTGTATTTTGAAGTTGAATTTACATGCAAGCTGTAACATTTTAAGTGCCAAAAGTCACGACTTGCACTTTGGTGCTTAAAACATTACGGCTTATGTTTATGTCATTTTGTTATTTGTAACCTAGTGAGGAATTTACCATTTTATGCTAAAATCAAAATAAATTTTTTCGAGACTTGAAGGAATTCATTGACTAGTAAAAAGTGTTTCTTGGCATTTACAACATTATGGTATTGCACACTTCATTTATTCATTACAGTCAAAATTATCATACGATCAATGTTTTAAAAGCAATATTTAATATTAGTATGCACCAGCATGATATTTTGCATATTATGTAGTATTACATGAAATATCTGGAAGCAAGCCAATAGAGTTCGTCATCCTACTAACTTATGTTTTATCATCTTCAGCCTTGCCAGGTTTCAAAATTCTGTATATAGCATTCGATCAACATCAGGATGTAAGAACGCCGATTGGGGGGGATTTTTATTCCCTACCGTCGGGATGGTCTAAGGTCTTAGCATATGTGGGTGGCGGTTTGTAAAGGCAGCAAAGACAAGTGTTTACAAAGGTAAACCGTTTATTTCGGACGAATATGCTTACACAATTTTTAGGCTTTGGTGCTGGTCTTGCGTTGTTGAGAATTCCGGCGGTGATCCGGTGCGTCGTCGTAGGGGCCCCTGGACAGTGTTGAGGAGAAAAAAAATTTCGATGTCTCGAAAGTCGATGCACGAAAGATGAAGATACACGAATACAACAGAAGTATAGGTGGAAGTCTTGGTGGAAGTAGAAATCAAGTAAAAAAGTCCCGCTGTCCTTGAATTTTGCGTTTTTATAGGATTTTTGCGATCGACTCCTTGTCAATTGGATAGATCTTACATCACCGTTTTCCAATTGGCCATCCACCTGTCTCCAGGTGTAAATGGAGCTTCGTTAAGTTCGTGGAAAAGGTCGGCTGGAGATGGTTTATCCGACACCATCCTTTCGGATCTGATCGCGTTTAATTGTTGACTATGACACCTTCGCTCATCTAGACATTTTTTTTTCTAGTTTCGTTTTGCTTTCTAAACTGCGTCTTAACTTTTAATATTTTAAATTTTCTTCTTTTATATCTAAAATTTGGTTTTTCCGTCTACTTTTGATGAGCGTCGACGTCAAAGTCGGGTGTCGCCGATTCGACACTTATATATTTACTTTCCTGACGATTTAACATAACAAATTTTTACATATCTTTCCTTTCTTGGGGGGGCTATTTCCAGGGCCTCACAAGGAAATGACATCAAATTGAACACTGATGTTGACTTTTCCATGACCTTTCAGGTCAAAGGAGAGAAGACACCTGGAAACAAAAGATGGACCAATCAAAAAGTGATGAAAGATATCATCAATCAATCAGAATGCAGGATCAAGGGGAGAACCATTTTAAAATGTGTGTATCAAGGACATGAGGTTCTTTCTCCAACATCCAAGTTCTTTTTACAAAGATTTACATTACTTACAAAAAGTTCTCATTTGTGATCAGTCCTCTCTAGCAGACAAGTTGCTCTGAACAGTTATGCTATAGTTGTATCCAAATTTTTAAGTTCCTTGTTCTGTGCTTTTCAAGTGGCTGACTGTTGGATGTACTTCCCAGCCAACCTCAAGTTCCCACCTGATATTCTGAGATTCAACCAGACAAAGTGAGCCCTGGGGCCATCAATTCACTGACAGTTGATCATCAAAGGATTTATTGTGATTTGGACTAGTGACATTTGGACTGTCTCTGGAATCAATTAAGACATATCAATATTACAAACTGAGTCTGGCCCTAGGAGATGAATAGGCTAAATTTTTGTAAGCATTTCTGTAGTCAAATAAATGGGTTATTTTATAAGTGGTAATCCTGACTCAGTGTCCAAACTGCATTCACATATGATCTTTTGACCCACTTGTCATCCTGATGTAAATTTAGGCTATTTTTGGCTAAATCAGCAATCTCACAGAATGGCCTGACATCCAAAAGTTGGAGAATGGAAGTTATTGGATATGAATGACAACAGATTTGATTTTCATCCTGCAGATCTTGTTTTTTACTTGATCCTTCAAGTGTCCTTTGAATGAGTCTAAGCAAAGAATTGATGGTGGGTTTAGAAGTGTGCTGGGACAATGCTCCCAAATATTTTGTAGCAAGTTGAGTATTAATTCTTCCATCATCCATTCCTTCCTAATTCTGTAATCTATATGTCTNTTTTTACTTGATCCTTCAAGTGTCCTTTGAATGAGTCTAAGCAAAGAATTGATGGTGGGTTTAGAAGTGTGCTGGGACAATACTCCCAAATATTTTGTAGCAAGTTGAGTATTAATTCTTCCATCATCCATTCCTTCCTAATTCTGTAATCTATATTTCTGTAGTCTATTGAGGGCTTTTGATTTTTTACATATATGTGTCTACCAGAGGGCTAGCTTGGACAAGTATTCCAGAGAAGGGAGAGGTGGATTGTGGATTCTTACACTCCTGGCTATAAGTTAGAAGTGGAGAATATTTGAATACTTGAACACATTTTAGATTCAAGTTGTCAAATATTGTGCTGATAAAATATAAATTTGAATACTACAAATATCTCTAATATTGTGCCATACATACAGTACAGTAGCAAATCCAGAAGTACTCAAAGGGAAGGCTAACTCAAAAATTATAAATACAGTGGTACCTTGCATTTCAAATGTTTCAGAGTTTGAATGGTAAATTCAACAAAAATTTGCCTTGGAGTTCAAATGATGCTTCAAAGTTCAAACTGTGTGCACAGTGAAAAAATGTTCTTGAAATGTAAACATCAACTGTTATGCGCCCAGGTCATCTCTGTCTTGCTCTTGCATTACACTATTAAGGATATGCAAAAACTTTCTGTTCAACCCAATATAATCCCTGCTTATTAACCATGGCATCCAAGAAATGTGTGGAAGTAATGAAGCCTAAGAGGAAGGTTGCAGTATTGATGGTTGAGGTGAAAAAGTAATTTACCACGAAGCGTGAAAGTGGTATATGTGTGGCAGATCTGGTGGCATGTTTAAGATGCTAAAGTCAATGCTGTGCAACCAGTAAATGCAATTTTCATTTTATTATACATTTTGTGTATTTTATTTATTGTTAAGATATTTAATTGTATTATTTTTACCTTAAATTATGCATGTTTACTGTTTTAAATTTATCAAAATGGGTGTTGTTTAGGATCTGAGAATGAATTAATTCACATTCTTTTATTTCTAATGGGGAAAAATTGATTTGGACTTCAAATGATTCAGAGTTCAACTGGCTGAATTCATTTGATAAAAAAAAAAGAAACAGATTAAATCCTGAATGTTTTCAAACTCTCGTTTTCTTAAATAAAAACTGCAGATGAGAATAATGATAATTATTTGTTAATCACTTATAGTTAAGAGTACCTAAAAACTTCTTTTAGAATTTAGCAAGATCTAGAATTTCCCAGTCTCCTTTTTTAGAAATTAGTTTAGAAACTTTCAAATTTGGAAGTAAATTTTTCAGATTTTTCTTCTGGCCACACTGATTTTTTCATAAAGGACCAAGAGATGGCAGATTGACATCACTGTTGTCGTATGAGATTGTTCTAGAGAAAATCACAGATTCATTGCTTTCATTTGAAAATTTTCTTGTACTTTACCATCAGATTCTCTTTAGTCAATATCTTGCAATAATTGTATATACCAATCCCAAGAAAGTCGTTTATTTTCTACTCATCATTGCCATTATACCATTTGAAAATGCAACTATCCGTCAATATTGACATATCTTGGGAACGAATGGATGGAACCCAACGAAATTTGATGCCTAGGTCGAAAAAAATAGCAAAGCGTGATAATACTCGTATTTAGTTGGAATGATGCCTATATCTTCAGTTTTTTAATAAGATATGAATGCAGACAGTGTGTTATCGTCCCAGCATAGTAAGGTTTGCTATGTTAAGCCATTTGTTAGTTCACTTACTTCATGGCTTGCCTCTATCAAATCTTATGCCAAAACTTGTCTGATCCCGTTTGACAGCTATAGAAAAATGTATTCTTTGTATGGATCATAATGGCCATAACTGGCACTGGTATGACACTTTTAATGTTAATGAGGCAAGCATTTGAAATTGAAGTCTATGATATTCAGGTATGCCACATAAAGGGATTGGATAATCTGGTGGCTGATTTATTATACTATATGAATTGGAGATTCTGAAATAATTGAATTTCTTTGATTTTTATTTCTATGAATATAAACGACGACTCCATAAAATCAAATATTACAATCTACTTCACCTAAAGTAAATGGAGAAATGCAGGAAACTAGTACTGTTTGACATTTATACAGTAAATTCCCATATAACATGCTCCCCTATAACATGACAAAAGAATTGTGACTATTGTTCATACAAAATTCTAATTTTGTCGTCCAGAGGTATACATTTTCTTCTTCAATTTCTGGACCTAGGTTTAAACTTGCATAAAATCGTCTGATAATGCATCTCTTGTATAATGCAATTTCTTGAACTTTGTTGTAAGGGACCTCACTGTATTTTTTTGAAGGAATAATAATGCATTTATAAATATTAAACCAACAAATTATGTTTTTTGTTTTATAAACAAATATTTATTTCAAATTATTTTTAACAATATTTTAATATTTTTTAGAGTTGATAAAAAAAGGGATAAATTAGAAAGAAAAGTTTTAGATAGCCAAGAAAGAGCTTTCTGGGATGTTCATAGACCAGTTGTGAGTGTAAATTTTATCATCTTATAAATTGTGTAATTTCAAATATGTAATTTATAATCGGGGCTGTGGAGTCAGAGTCAGAGTCGTGGAGTTTTGGTGTTTTGGCTGGAGTCGGAGTCATCAAAAAATCCAACTATTTACTTACCAACTTGTTATGCATATGAAACAGAGTCGGAGTCAGATGGTAAGGAAGAGTCGGAGTTGGAGTTGGAGTCGGTAGATTTTTACGCAACTCCACAGCCCTGTTTATAATATAAATTTATAAGGGGCAGTTTGTAAATTACATAATGCTGATGTGAGTAGGTATACAAGTAATTGTTACAATGCGTTACATGGGAGTGAAGGTGTTTACAAAACCATTACATAATAGTATGATCTCGACTATTAGGTAACAGAATGATTCATTTTACTTTCCCAGCTATTATGTATACTTAACAAGGGAAAGTATTGAAATCATGTCACATTTGACCCTCCAACTTTTTTGTAAATCTCCATGTTTTGAGACCTCCTGAATTCAAAAATTCCATGGGTGTGTGTTGGCATCTGTTTCATTTAATATCTCGGGATGGGATAATGATTAAAAAATGAAATTTGACATGTTAGTTTGTGTGTAAAGGGCATTATTGCTATTAAATTTTGATGGTTAAAGGTTAAAAATGAGGAGATTGAGAGGGTTCATGTATCATATCTTGAGAGAAGTCAGACATATCAAAGATTTTACTCATTATTAGTATTTACAATTTTTATAAATTCGTCCCTACCCTCAAAATGAAGCTTTTTGCCATTTTATAATAATTAATATTATGGGAGTTTTTTATATAAAATTTTTTTATAACAGATGGCACTACAAACAATTTAATTTATAATATTTTATAACATAACATCAGATTTTATTTTTTTGAAATAAGTAACAGCCAGGAAAGTTATGCAACTCGTTGCTAAATTTTTTGTTTCTGAAGTATTGCATAACAGATATCTGTTTATGTCACTGCTTTGTACAGTAATTATGTAATTACAATAAATACATGTAATTAATAAAATAACGTAATGTTCATACATCGTACTGTACATTATTCCTTAGTACAGTTAATAGGGTTGATTGTAGATACGCATTACATAATTTTGGAGGTGAGTATATAGGACAGCATTACAGAGTGTTACCAGGGGATGGGACATAGTTGAAGCATATAAAAATAGCATTATGTAATTTATGGATGATATTTTTAAGAAAGTATAGAGAATAATTTTAAAATTTCTTTAATAAAAATAAACACATCAAATTTATTTTGCATATTAGAAATTTCAATTATATTTTCTNTTATTATTTAATAATATTTTTAATAATTTTTATAATTTTTCAAATAATTATAAATATTTATTTTCCTTATTAATCATAAGTTTTTACAAGGTAATCAATTAGCACTAAGAAACAGTAAAAGTTTGTATTTGAATGGTGAAGTACTAGTAGATTTATAAGCTCCCTGCCTATACGTTTTACGCTACTGATGGATACCCCTTGCGGTAAAATATTGAACTTTGTAGTTACAAAAAATAGAGTTAAGACTGAGCTAACATGGCAAATTTGGTGAACTTTTACTCTGGAATAAAGAAATGAATATTTGTAGCATGGGAGAATGTAATACTTCTTATAGTAATACCATAGGGGTAGTTTCTTTTTTTAAATTAAAAAAGACTCAGTTAGAAGAAGGGCATGGATTAATGCAGTATGCAGGCTTTACTTTTATTTGATCTTCATTAATTATAAAAGTTTTGATGGATACTTTATTTCCAATAAACAATAATAACTGTCTCTGATAATGCCATCTGGAGAACAGCCAAGACATTTCTGGACAACGTACTCTTCATTGAGCAGATAATAGCTGTAGAGTTTTCTATCAGTATATTATGTTTGGATCAGCTGGAGATATGTGTTGGTTTGTTTTACTATATCTTTTTCTTTTTTGGAACAAAAAAGTAAGACATGTTGCATGCTTGCATCTATCAAGAAGTCCTGCAAAAGGCATTAATTATTTTCCATTGGTCATTAAGTTAATATGTTTATGTTATGTTTACAAATAATTGTAAGAAAACAAGATCAAATTAGTAATGAACCAAGAAGAAATGTTAATGTTAATAGATATAAATGAAAATGTTTGCAAACAGTTTTCTTCAACTGGTATCATTTACTATGAACATTATACACTATTGTGATGTTCAGGGTTACTAGAACGACAACAGGATATAATACAAAGAACAAAACTTTATTATCAAACACAAGAGTTTCATTTTCATGGATTGACACAGGCTCCAACTCTGAGGCACATACACAAAAAAAAAGGATTTTCATGACACAAAGATATACAAAACTTTATTAAAAAAAACTTTATTACAGTCCTTTAGATGCTGGAGTTGTCCAATATACACATTTCGAAAGTCTGCCAATGCGGGCTGCATTTTTCCTTAAATCTACTTAACCTACTTATATCAAAATAATAAAAGACAGACATAGAAAGATGAAGGAAGAAGAAAGATAGGATAGAGGTACCCAATTGTGTCTTCTTTTGGTTGTTTTCGTTCCCTTGGTGGTACAGGTGGACTTAACATCCTTTGTCTAGCCAGATTGGTACTCCACTTACTTCGATGTCCCTACTGCAACACACTGCTAAAACTCCTACTATATCGTCTCTTTCTCCTATTCCTCACTTTTACACCACGCTTCTGTACTCTGGTCTTCTGCTGTCAAAGCGACCCAGAGTCTCCTCGATCCATTCGATCTCTCCACTGTCTACCAAAAAGTGTCCTTTGTCCTCTTTTGGACTGCCCCAGGGTCTTCCTCTACCCATTGTTCACCTCCACACCTTCGGGATTTGAGCGTGGATAGAAAGTTATCAAATTTTGGGGAAGAAAGAAATTAGAGAACAATAGAAAGAAAAGAAGAGGGGGGAAAAACTTATAATATAAACTTACAAACTATATACAGATTATGACATCATGCCACACTATAAAGCTATGATATAAACATTTCATATAAATTGATACTTAATGTTGTTAATATTAAATAAAATTAATTGAGTTTTAGTTAAAATTTCAAAACAATAATATACAACTTACCTCCGATTTTCCAGCACTTTTTTAAATCCAGATAGAATTATAAGAGGTCACCTAAAACTCTCATAATGGATACTTATTCACTGAAAGATCATAGATGGCATCGTGTATACTTGGGTTTTCTACATTTCAATTGTTGATGATCCCTTATAACAGTTACTCATTTTAATGTTTTCAAACTATTTTAAAACAGTTTCAAAACAGCAGGAACATTATGAAAACTCAGAGAACTACAACAGCAGAAGAAATAACTTTGGCTGTCCACTTATTTTCCTTGAAAACAAACAAAAAAAATGATGCAAACTGCTGTGATTAGTGTAAAATACAGGCATTATGGAACTGTCCCTTCTCTCACAAATCCAGATAAGGAGCAAGTATCAGAACCCCTCTAACTTGGGACTTGATTATCAGATCCGTCTTTTTCTTGTATCAATCTGTTAAAAATGTTTCTTTAAATATAATGCTTCAAATCATCTCAGTTTTAGCAAACTGTGCAGCTGTTTTTTTTTTTTTTATAGCAAAGTCTTCAATTAAATTTTATTTAATTGAATTTGAGTCAGTTAATTATTGATATTATAATTTGAGAAAGTCAATAAAACTTTAAGCTAAAACTCAACAAATTATTGAAATAATTTAAATAAAATTCAGAATAAAAAATATTCTACTACATTTTCTTTAAGTTTTTAAGACTATACTTTTATATTCACATCAGAATATCGTCAAAAGTTTTTTTATGACTGATAAGTCTCAATCATTTTCAAATCTTTTATGGTATGAACTCTTCTTCAATCAATTTGCACCTAAAGAAAAAAATGTGTAGTAAATAAATAAAGATAATTCTTCTTAGAAAATATCTGTAAAGATTAGTTTATTCATTTTTGAAAATTTTCAAACTATCTAATATTCGGAATTATGAAATAAAAATATATTTTATCTTTATATAGCAAAAATACTATGGTATTTGTACTTACGAATCATGTTAAATCTATCTATTTATGATATTTTATATATTAATATAGTATTATAACAAGGATTAATAATAATGTAATAAATAAATATTTTGAATCAATTTCATTTGACAACATAAACATTTAAGTTTAACAATTTTTATCATCTTTTTTTCACAATTAATGTTGCATCATATATTTCAAAGGAAACATTTTTATATATTCAATTAAGTTAAATTAACTAAGTTAGAAAACACATTATCAAATAATTTGTTTCTTAAAAGAAACAAAATTTAATAGATTATATAATTTCAATCTATTATGTCTGTGTTTACAGTTGAGTCCACTTAACAGAGTATTGAATTAAGGAACAGTCCACTTGAGAGAGCACAGTTCCTGAATTTTTCCCCAATATTTAGTGGGACTCCTGTTAATAGAGCACTGGATAGTAGAGTAGTCTATTTAAATGAGCATTGTGTCAGCAGCTTTTTTTTTTTTAAATAGCAGTCTGCATAAGAGAACACTATTCTAAGGAAGATTTATAAAGGTCCATAATTAATCTTACAGTACATCACCACTCACCATCACAGCAACAGTGCACAAATCAACAAAATCTGTTTCTCACAAAGGTGTATTGTTTCATTTAAGCATGTTGAGAAAATATTTAGAAGAAAATTTTACCAACTACAATGCATTTTACAAGATCAAAGATGATTGAAAAGAAAGTTGTGAATAATTATATCCAAAAGAACTTCTTTAAGTAAATTAAATTTGTTCAGGTTGTTTATTGTATGAATAATTATGATAGCGCAAATAGTTCAGTTCGATATTTGTAAATTATTGTAATAAAATTTCATGGAAAGTAAATACAAGAATAATTATTTGTCTGTATCTCTCAGTAGTGAAAATTCAGAAATTTTGGAGCCAAGGGTATTCACATCTTTTCAACTAGACCTTCTACTGTATTTGTTGGGAAAAAGCAAAAGTCATTTGATTGATAATATACTGTGTTTACTGATTTTTTGATAAAACAATAAAATTGATGATGTAAAAATAGAAACCAATATGTAAGCTACAGCAAAATTATGTGTTAATGAATTTTAATGTTTCCAAGTGCATTATAAGTTATATAAAGCTCCTAAGACATGAAACAGTGAAGAGATTTGAATACTATAAACAACTCCCTGATCTAATTAAAACAATCTAATTACTTCAGATAAGAGAGCAATCCTGACAGTAGTCTTTTAAGCAGACTTAACTGTACATTAAAGAGTAACACAAATGATACATTAGCTTTGATTTACCGAATTAAAAATTAATCAGCAATATTAATTTTATTCGGTTTGTTATGCTTTAAGTTAACATTATACGTAAAGAAAAATTTGAAGTTTTGCTTTTTATAAATATAAAAACATTGGTATTATATTTTAAATTATCACTTAAAGTTAAACCTTAATGAAAATATTCAAGTTTTAAATATATTTATTATTATTATTCCATCAAATTTTATTATATAATAAAATTAAAATTATATATATTTAGCTGTGTACTTATGTAAACGGACCATGCAAAATAAAACTAGATTGGAACTTGCCGATTATGAAGCCGAGAATTTGGCACGTTTACAAAAAATGTTTTCACGCAAATGGGAATTTATTTTTATGCAAGCAGAAGCTCAAGCTAAGTATGTATTATTAAATTTTTAAAATTAAATATACAACTTATATTAAAAATTATTTTAATATAAATTGATTATTATTTATAAAAATTTTATTCTGTATTAAAAGTAATTAATTCTCAATAGTAGTAGAGAGTCGATTATCCAAAATAATTAGGGTTGGACAATTTTAGATAACCAATCACACTTGGTAGAGAAAGAATAAAAAGATAAATATCTTAAATTAAAAATTATTATAATTCTTTTTTGAAAGAAGTAATCAATTTTGCTTTGTTTTGCATTATGTTTTTCTTTTTAACTTTGCTAAATCCTTGGCTTGCTTGATCATTACGAGAATTGAAAAATTTGCTTTAGGTTGCATTTCTAAGTCTGTCAATACTGTTTCAAATGCATCAAATGCTTCACTGTACCTATAAACAGTGAAACATTTGATGCATTGGATTGTGACTCATTAATCATGCTTTTTTTATTTGTACTATAGTTAATGAAACTTAATGTTAGTATTAATACTAAAATAACTTAATATCTGGTCTATATAAGAGTGATTCACCAATCATTATTATGTAAAAATTGCAATTTCTGGAAGTAGAACTCTCTCAAATTGATTTCAGTTACAGTAATTAGTTTTTTTAGATAATTGATGCTCTACTATATTACTATATGTTTTCCTTGAATCTTTTCATCTTGTGATCAATAATTCAATGAAAATGTTTTTCTAATATTGTGTTTTCTTAATTCTAATGTGCCATTGAATCTAACATGCACTTAATTTTTGAGATAAAACCCAAAGAAGTTAGTTAACAAATGTAACTTGCATCCTATATTGTCAAACACTCAGTTACAAGAAGTTAATGTATTCAAACAACAATAAATACATTTTTGTAAAATATTTTATTATGTTTACAGTATACATTTCTGAATATATTTGAAGAGTGCAATGCCCTAATGTTGTAAATGCCATTTTTTCCTGAATATGTTTTATTGAAGAAATGAATTCTAAATTCAATGTTTTCTGCCGCAAAAAAATATTGTGGTGAAAGTGTCACTGTAGGTGGCTGTATTTTGAAGTTGAATTTACATGCAAGCTGTAACATTTTAAGTGCCAAAAGTCACGACTTGCACTTTGGTGCTTAAAACATTACGGCTTATGTTTATGTCATTTTGTTATTTGTAACCTAGTGAGGAATTTACCATTTTATGCTAAAATCAAAATAAATTTTTTCGAGACTTGAAGGAATTCATTGACTAGTAAAAAGTGTTTCTTGGCATTTACAACATTATGGTATTGCACACTTCATTTATTCATTACAGTCAAAATTATCATACGATCAATGTTTTAAAAGCAATATTTAATATTAGTATGCACCAGCATGATATTTTGCATATTATGTAGTATTACATGAAATATCTGGAAGCAAGCCAATAGAGTTCGTCATCCTACTAACTTATGTTTTATCATCTTCAGCCTTGCCAGGTTTCAAAATTCTGTATATAGCATTCGATCAACATCAGGATGTAAGAACGCCGATTGGGGGGGATTTTTATTCCCTACCGTCGGGATGGTCTAAGGTCTTAGCATATGTGGGTGGCGGTTTGTAAAGGCAGCAAAGACAAGTGTTTACAAAGGTAAACCGTTTATTTCGGACGAATATGCTTACACAATTTTTAGGCTTTGGTGCTGGTCTTGCGTTGTTGAGAATTCCGGCGGTGATCCGGTGCGTCGTCGTAGGGGCCCCTGGACAGTGTTGAGGAGAAAAAAAAGTTCGATGTCTCGAAAGTCGATGCACGAAAGATGAAGATACACGAATACAACAGAAGTATAGGTGGAAGTCTTGGTGGAAGTAGAAATCAAGTAAAAAAGTCCCGCTGTCCTTGAATTTTGCGTTTTTATAGGATTTTTGCGATCGACTCCTTGTCAATTGGATAGATCTTACATCACCGTTTTCCAATTGGCCATCCNATTATTCCTTAGTACAGTTAATAGGGTTGATTGTAGATACGCATTACATAATTTTGGAGGTGAGTATATAGGACAGCATTACAGAGTGTTACCAGGGGATGGGACATAGTTGAAGCATATAAAAATAGCATTATGTAATTTATGGATGATCCCTAATGAAAGATATTTTTAAGAAAGTATAGAGAATAATTTTGAAATTTCTTTAATAAAAATAAACACACCAAATTTATTTTTCATATTAGAAATTTCAATTATATTTTGTAATAGTGATAGATTAGATATACTTCTGTAAAATAAAAGTCAGGATTTATCTGATTTTTTAAAACATTTACACATTGAATGAAAAATTAATTAGTAAAACATAGATAAAAATTACGTGGTATTAATAAAAACCAAATTTTTTTTTAGCCTGGTTGTGTTAATACAACTGAAATTGATATTAAAAAAGCATGTCGAATGAATAAACCAATAAAGAGTTCAAAGGTAAGATTTTTTTAACATAATATTAACTTCCAAATTTTATAAACACATTCATTTCTGTTTATTGGGGCAAAGAAATAGATTTTAATAGTACTTTTGAGCTTCTTCAGCTTGTGCTTGGGTGTTCACATCTATTGTCAAATTCTGTATTGACAATTTTTTATTTTATTTTATTTTATAATGGAGACAGTTAAGAAGGCGGGAGATGCATGTGCAAAATGGAAATGCCATTGTTTAGATACAGTGGGATATAAAATTTTTAGAAAATAAAATAAATTTCTCTCTCTTCAGTTTGAAGTTACTTAATGAAACTACTTTTACTTCCTGTAATTTAATATATTAATTACCATAATTTCATGCAGATAATCTGTGTTATCCAAGGCTGTGGAGTCAGAGTCGGGAGGAATTTCTGGCCAGAGGAGTCAGAGTTGGGAAAAATGTGTCGACTCCGATTCAGTCATTTTAAATTAAATTTTTTTTATTTAAATGAAAGAAAATTTATTTTATATTTATTAATTTTTTTAAAATGTATTTGTATTTTGTTATAATTCATTTATTTTAAATACAAAATGCAACAATTTAATTTATTAAATATGTATCAATAGTTTTCTTTGTAGTATTTGCATTTAGTAGTTAAATTATTTTGACCCAATGGAATTTGAATATTATTGATTCATTCCTTTCTTATCCCCGCTCTAAATAAATACTCTATTTTTCTCAATGAGCCAGACTAATTGATCAAAGTATATATTTTTCTTTTCTGAACAAGGGTCTGAAGTAACTAGATCGCACACTTTTTTGTTGAACTAACTTTTCCGGAAAGGTGAAATTGAAGTGCAAAGCTGTAGAATAAAGATATGTAGATTAGAATTTTATTGCTTCCCCCCCTTTCCACTTATTAAATATTTGTTAAAAATTAATTTTTTTATACAAATAAATATTAATGTAAGTTAAATATTAAAAATACTAACTATAAAAGTATTTGGGTAAATGCCCAGGGCTCCTTTCAGAGTAGGGTAACCTACGAGCGCTTTTGCCCCCATAAAATGACTTGGTATTTAATTTTGCCAGAGTCAGGAGTTGGTGTTGGCCTACTAAAATTATCAGGAGTCGGAGTCGAGTGTTTTTTTACTGACTCCACAGCCCTGGTGTTATCTATATTTGAAAGAAAGAGAACAAAGTTCTCTCTTTTGAATGTATTCATTCTAACATACTTGACAATTTTCATAGCTGATGAAGATCTCAATAAAATTTAATTTGGTTTTCTGAATTAAACACTTTTTCCTCATCGTTTATTGTTAGTTTATAGTCTTAATTTGTATATATAAATAGAGAAATTTATTAATTTGTAGCATATGCAATGCTCGGTTTCTGGAGGAAGAATAAGTCCAAGCATTTCCGAAGCAGATTTAAGTAATCCGGCTGAATTATTAAAACTTGAAGTAAGTATAAATATAAATTAAAACACATCAATAAGGATTGAATGACAGATTTTGTAAAGAAAATATAAGTTTTTTTAATTTATGTTTAATGTTTCAATAATAAAGGACAAAAAACTGTCCGAAAAATAAACTTGGTTTTGGCTGTTTGTGCAGCTATTTACTGTTTGTAATGGGCATACATTGTCATCATATGCCTGTTATGAATTGTTCTTATACCACATGTTAATTTAACTTTAAATTGAGCATTCAGTTTGTATTCTGACAATGGCTGCACAAACAGCCAAAACATTTGAAAAATAAGTTTTTCTCAGCAGTATTCTTTACTTTTTTGGACATATTTTGTACAAATCTCATAAACCAGTTTTTGAATTGTAGTAATACAATTACTACATTGTCAGTTAACCATTACAGCGTGTTTTTTAAAGAGTTAACATACAATTAGTGATAATTTATTCCTTTGTTACAAACATTTGCTGTAAAGAGAAAATTGGTTCTTCCTATTTCATCTCTCTCACACCAAATAATTGTTGTTCTAATAATATAAAAATTAATGATAAATTTTCATTTAAGAAGAGATTAATTTTAGTAGAGATATTTTCTATATAATTATTAGTAATTACATATGGTTATAAAATTTACTGAATAGATTCAAATTTTCAGATATTTAAAATTTTATGTAAAATATGTGTAAATCCTAGTAAAACTATCATTTTAAATTATGTATTAATGGCATGTGATTTCAAATATGACATGACAACATTTGATATCAGATGTCATCTGTGAAGACTGTTTGTTTTTAAACCTTTAATGTCAAGCAATGTTATGTTAT